ATTCGCTGGTTTTCGGTGGAAAGCGGGCTCCAGACGACCACTTTGCTCAGTTTCCGCTTTCGGCCCGGAAAAGCGGCGAATTCCAGCCCGCCGAGGTTGTCACCGCCTGTCACCGCTTTGTCACCGCTTCGTCACCGGGCCGAAAAGTGCGCAAAAGCGCCCCAGTTCCCGAGAGGACTCGGTTCTTAGCAAGTTTGAGTCAATACTGGAACCGGGTGATTCATCAATGGCTCAGGAATGGGCAAGGTTGGTTCATGAATGGGCAAGGTTGGCTCATGAATGCCCTGCAGGTCATAACCACTGAGACAAGTGTCCTTCGCCGGTCACTTCATCATGAGGCCGAGGTGTCCCAAGCGCTTTGACCGACGCTATCGGTCAATTCATCAGAGGTCTCATAAGTGAAGGACCTCACTTCACGTACTGGTAGCACGGGGTTGATATATAATTATACCACCCAGCGCTATGAAGGCCCCGAATGACCCATAGCGACTCAAGGGAGGGCGTGTTGTGAAAGTACAACACCCCTGAACACCTACTCCTAAGAAAACATGTTTGAAGGACCTGTCACCGGCAACATCCCGGAGGTCCTGGACAACGGAGAGGTGACTGACGGCACGCACGTCACCGCCTGGCCCTCGCTCTGACGCCCTACGCGCAAGTAGCTAACCTGGCGGTGAACACGGCAGCCTCCGGCAACAACGCGGCTGCCATCCAGTCCGAGTCACCGCCGAGCTGGCCTCTCAGCTGGACGGCAGCGCGCTGGCGCCGGCAATTGCGCCCCCGGCCCTGGCCACCACGGACGGACAGGTGGCCGCGCACGGAAGCAGCATCGCCGCGCTGCAGAGCTCGCTGACCACGGGTCTCTCCAACAAGGCAGACCAGTCGCCCTTCGACGTGCTGGAGGGCGTGGTGGCCACGAAGAGCACCCCGGACGGCGTGGACCTGAAGCTGTCCAACTACAGCACCACGGCGGCCATGAACGGCTCCATCGCCTCGGCCAACAACGCCACGCTGGCCACGGTGGCCGCCAACTACGGCCTCAAGACGGTGGTGGACCAGCACTCCCTAGACATAGCGGCGAGGCACGCCGCTGGAGGTCGACACCAAGGTGGCCAACGCTCTCCTGGGCGTCGTCACCGCCGCTGCGCTGGCCTCCGAGCTCGCGAGCCGCGAGACGCCTCCATCTCGGGGCTGCAGGCCTCCAAGGCGGACACCAGCGCCCTGACAGCTTACGCCCTGCTCTCGGCCGTCGACACTTCCTCTGAGGTGGACTCTAAGATAGCGGCTCTTGGGCACAGTCACCACGGCAGCCCTGGACGCTGCCCTCCTCGGCAAGGCGGACGCAAGCGCGCTGGCCTCCCAGCTCTCCACGGTGGACGGGTCTCTCTCTGTTATTTGTGAAATCTAAAACCGCTCACAGCGCATCTTCAGAGGTTATTATTCAGCAAATGTGGATTCTGCGAAAATTTGGTGGTTTTGCGCGGTGCGGCCACAGCCCTTCTGCTTGCACTTCTGCAAGGGTTTTCAGCTTGCTTCAATATGCAGGCAAAACGGGTCCTAGTCGCATTCTGTGCGTCTCGGAAGTTTAAGTTGCCCGGGCTTAAAGTGCTGTTTCTGGCCTTGTAAGTGCGTTTCTGTTGCGGAGCTTTGTGGCTCGAAAAGCCTGATAAGTGCTTTCTAAGCGCAACGGTAACTCAGAGCAGAAGGGTGGAATTCTCTTGGCCTCATTTGCTGCATGTGAGCCTTGGGTTGCGTCTCCGTCAATCCTGCGCCGGCAACAGGATTGCATTGCTGGGTTAGGGCAGCCGCAGATAGGCCACGTATACTTCAGCTGCCGGCTTCCCCGTGGTGCCCCTGGTGCCATGCACGGGCATCTTCCTTGGGCCCAGCAAGTCGGGCAAAACTGTGGCGCTCATCAGTCTCATCCTGGAGCAGTACAAGGGCGTGTTTGAGCGGATCTACGTTTTCAGCCCAAGCGTCAACATCGATGATGGCTGGATCCCCGTCAAGAAGTACATCGAGCAGGACCTGGGGGTGAACACGGAGCGTGAGCAGGCTTACTGGGACGAGTGGGATGAGTCCGCCTTGCGGCGCATCATCCAGCAGCAGCGCAAGATCACGGAAGCGTCCAAGAAGTTGGAAATGAAGAAACTGTACCAGGTGCTTGTAGTCATCGACGACTTTGCTGACACGCCGCAACTCCACAAGCCGCACGGCGCCCTTGACACCGCCAGGTACCCCAGCACGAGCGCCGGGGCGTGGAACGGGCGGTGGACGAAGTTGCGCAACGGTAAAGAGATGAAGACACTTCGGGCCCACGGCTTCAATCAGCGCCCGCGCTTTGAGCAGGTGGTGGGCTACCTTGAGCGGAATGAGCCGCTGCCCATGGATCAGGCCACGTCGTTCGTCACAAGCCACTTCTACCTGGACGATTTCGTCCAGTCCAGCGCCCTCGGCCCCTGCAGCACACGGCTCTGCAGGCTATTTTAGAGGACACTTCCGCCGAGGCCACGGACAAGAAGGTACCAAGTGAGCCTAGAGTGTCCCCATTCTTCTCTCTCGACACTCTAGGCTCAGTTTTTTTTGAACCGCCAGTAGCTTTTTTTTGCCTCTTTTGTGTCTCAGTAGTCATCTGGTTTCATGGAGCCAAAATTTGAACCGCTAGTAGGTTTGTTAACATTCGGCCTCTTGTGCTCCGCAGCTCCGCAGCAGCCGCAAGCGTCCGTGGGGCGTTGGCAGCAGCTTCGCGGCAGTTGCTCCTGGCGTTCAGACGCCCCTCGTTGAGGCGTCGGCCAGCTTCTTGGCAGTCGTCCGCAGCCCAGAAGCAGCTGCAGACGGCTGAGTTTCTAAGCTCGGCTGTTTTGCGGCAGTCGCCCGCGCGCGCCAAGGCAGCCGCACACGGTCCCTAGCTGCGTTTCTGCGTCGGTCGGTTTTTTCTTGGCAGTCGCCCGTGCGTCCCCGCAGCACCAAAGCAGCCGCACACGGTCCCTAGCTGCGTTTCTGCGTCGGCCGGTTGTTTCTTGGCAGTCGCCCGAGCGTTTCCGCAGCGCCAAAGCAGCCGCACACGGTCCCTAGCTGCGTTTCTGCGTCGGCTGGTTGTTTCTTGGCAGTCGCCCGAGCGTCCCCGCAGCGCCAAAGCAGCCGCAGACGCCCCTCAGGGCTGCGTTGAGGCGTCGGCCGGCAGGTGTGCAGCGCTCACTGCGGCCACCTGTGTTGCGGCTGAGGTCCCGGCAGCGCTGTGAAAAGAATGTTCTGGCGCAGCCCGCCCGCGCCGTCAAGCCCACCCGCACCAGCCCCCGCAGAAGGCGCTCAGAGTGCCCGGGCTGGGTGCTCCGGCCCACAGCTTGGCTGGGTTGGGCTCGCGCTTCGGTCGTTGGAGTGTTGCTTCCGCCGGGCAGCGGTTGGCCTTAGGGAATGGGATGCGCCCATAAGGCAAAGGCATGGGGAGGATTAAGCTCTTCCCCACGCGGCGATTCTGATCCCAATGGTTTGGTGTCATGCAAGTGCGCCAGCGAAAAGCTCTTCCACGCCCAGTACACCTCCAAGCAGCCCGGCGACCCTGTCGCGGCCTGTACTCGCAGCAGCCCGGAATTGCTCCAGCCTCTGTGGCTGCGTCCGGCCCTTTCCCAGAATGCGACCACAGCCCCTGAGGGCGCAATCCTGCCTTTGGGGTCGGCAGATTTCCCTTGTTCATTGCCTGTCTGGGATGGGCCTGCAGCGGCTCTGGAAGCGTTTCTGCTTGTTCATCGCCTGGCTGCGGCAGTTCGAGGCAAGCTTCGGCATGCAGGAAGAAGTTCATCGCCTGGTCGGACTGCGGCAGCTCTGGCAGCGTTTCTGGCAGCTCATTGCTTAACTTGGGGTGCCTCAGATGCCTCCACCATCTATGCAGAGTTCGATAGACAGGGGTTGACCACGGACACTGTTCAAAACGGCGTGGGACATTCTTTTCCTGATGTCCGCAGAGTTGCAGCAAGTACTGGTCGCTGTCGGTGCCTTTTGCTGGCTTTTCTAAAATCGGGGAACTCCCTACAAATTCCGAGCCCGTATAAAAATTACAAAACCGGATTTTGTTGTTGAAAAAAGGACCTTCTTTTTTGCGGAAGCAAGTTTTCGCCACAATGGCTGCCCACAATCTGGGGCAGGCTGCGGCAAATGGACAGCTGCTGGCTGCGCTGCTGCAAGCCGAGGCCTTGCTGGGTGATCGAAGGGGACGAGCCCTGGCAGCCCGAAACGCGGGCGAAGCTGGCCTACCGCCTAATCTACTGCTGCCACCTGCGCGTCAAGACTCAGGGTTTGGGATGCGCTAAAAAAAGCAAACCGTGGCCATGGGGAAGATCAGCTTGTTCCCAACGCCCTGGAATCTGTGCGCAGCGGGGACAGAAGTGCAGTTTTAGATTTGCGTCCAATAAAGAACAATGCGTGGACTTGCTCCCCATTTGTTCGCTGGATACTTGCTCAAAAGCCCCATCCGCCATTCACCTGCGAGAGCTTGTTGACCAACTGCTTGCCCCGAGAAAGCCGAGAGAGAACTCGGCTGGTGAAATGGCGCACAGTCGGCAGAAAAAACACCAGCTTCAGCCATTGGCGCTTCATGACATGCTACCGCGATTCCTGGAAGTAATGACATTGCCGCTCCATGCGTTTCTCCCATGCTGTTGGCCCGCATTCTGCAATGATGCTCATTAGCACTGGCGCTGGTCGGCGTGATTTCTTGTCCACTGCTGCTCAACTTCCCTGATCGCCACCTTCAACAAATAGCATCAAACACCTGTGCACAACTTGGCTCAAAAAGATCAAACTGGCAAGCCACGAGAGCAATTCTTTCCCCCGCACTTCTTCAAACGGCTTGGTACTGCATCCGCGCGCTTTGGCACAGGGAGGAACGCCGCAGTGAACCAGCTGTTGACCAGCGCCGGCAACTGTTGCTGGTCCTGTACCCGTTGCAGGCATTCCCTGCTTGACTTGAACACCGTTGCCTGATGTTCAAAAGTGTGAACAGTTGCCTGCCTTACCCTTCAGGAGTCAAGCAAAGTCGCACTGCAACGAAACAACTGTGCCTGCGAACGCATGCTTTTGTCACTGTACGAGGTGAAACGTTGTGCGCCAGCATTGCCTCAGCCGAGAACAGTGACCACAGCCAGCAGTAGCCTGGCAACGATGCAAGTTCGCACGTGTGGAACACTGCTGGGTTGCTGAGGTGCCTCAAACTATGCGGCTCCAGCAGCTCCAGCTGGAATCGTGAATCCATAGCAGTCTGCCCTGACAGCTGGGCGACAGCACAACCCAAAATTGCAAGGCATCGGAACCAAGCGCTGGGCTCATCTGTCTCGCGCAGACTTGCTGACATCGTCTCTTCTTTCACCCAGCCGCCGTCCTGCAAAGTCCAGCTGAGACACGGCAAGGGGGTGAGGTGCGGGGGGAATGGAACGAATGGGGATGCGCTTTGACATGCAAAGCTCTCCTCTTTGCTGTAAATATCCATTTTGAACGATGGAATTGAGAGCTCCGCCTTGTTCTTTATCCCCTGAAGCAATCAGAAGTGAATAGAGTTGGAAGAGTTGCGAATTACCATGTACAGTCAAGCAAAAGGTAGAATGCAACTCGCTTCCGAGCGCACGGCTTCTTTGAGATCATCCACCTGACATCCCCGCGGAGCGTCAAGCAGCATTTGTGACGGCGAAACAAAGCTGAGGTGATCCTTCGTAAAGTGGCGCAGCTAAGGCCGCCGCGTTTGCCAAAACTCCCTTAACTTGAAAGGGGTTGCCAATGACCTCGAAGTTCTTGCCGTCCTCGTAAGGCACAAGCACTGCAATCCAGTTCACATCCATCCGTTTTACCGGTGGCTCCACAAACGCCTTTGATTTTGGAGCTAGGCGACAATTTGAGAGCTCTTCTGAGAAGGAAGTCGACAGCTGTTTTCAGAACGTGAATGCAGGGCAAAACTGCTCACAGCTGCTGGTAAGGTCCAGGCAGGGCTTCCCAGCTGACAGACCCACACTGCTGGGGGTCGTTGCGGGGCGGCACTGCCTTGCAGGCGGCAATCTGAGCGCGCAACGTGAGAAGTGCGTTTGTTGCTTTCCACTGGCCCGGAAAACTGGTCGAGTTTCGCACTCCACGTTCTGACATCTTTCGAAGCCAAAAAACAATGCTGAGTTTGAATGTTCAAAAAAATCCAGCCTGGCTCAATGTACTTGAATTTCTGGGCAGAACTGATCTCAAAGAATGGTTCTTCATCCTTCCAGGAGAACCCTCTTGCAACTCCATCGCACGGGATGTGGAAGTCAACAACTTTCTCACCTTGCCGCTTGACGTAGACATAGTAGCCGGTGTGCGATGGATTGGGCGCAAGTCCGACCACTTCTATACCGTCCCGCACTTTTCCCACAATCTCTCTCATGTCTCCACATTTGCCAATGATCAGCAAGCACTTGTGCTGTGCATGTGCATAGTTTGTCATCGACGCGCTTTCAAAGCGATCTCGATGCTTAGCAATGCTGGTTGCTCCCCGAGAAGACATGACCGCTTCAATGGCGAAAGTTGAACCGTCCTCCAACGTAGTATAGATGTCAACCTTCCCCTTTTTTGTGCTCTCCAAACTATTTGTACTACCAACCAAGCGCTTCAACTCCCGAACTGCGGCATGGGTGTAGTGAACCTCAAATGGGAGCTCTTCTTGCGAAACATCAAAACGAATTCCGAACTTGTCCCCTTGGATGGCCACCACATCTGCAAAAAGCAAGTATGGCAGCGCTCGCAAGAGCAAATCTGTGCAAGAAGTTGGGCTTCTGTCCACATCCACTGTCAGCTGCCGCTTCTTCGCAAGCGCTTGGCGATAGTAGGAAGCCATCATGTAATTGGCGACGCCATATTTTGTCCCGAGCTTTGCCCAATCCAATGGCGTAAACTCCTCTGGAATTCTGTCAGTCGCTGGCACAACAGGAAGCGTGAAACCAACTAAAGTGAGCTTGCGCCGGAGATTCGCGTCCATACCAGCAGTTGGACCCTCGCACAAGATGTCCTCAAATTGTTGCGGTATGCTCTGCGGGTCTGAAAAAGCTCCGTTGACACGAATGGCGCGAACAGTCTGAAGCTTCCCCATCAAGCTGTCATCTGGGGTTTCTGTCCAATTGTCTGTGTCCCATGCCTGACTGACTTCGCCTTGTGCGCGAGTCAAATCCCAGCGAGTGCTGTCCCCGCTTTGCTTCTGCTGCACCCATTCCATGCTTCTTATGAATAGACTTCTGTGTCCAGCACAAAAGTCCATGAAGAAAGCAACCGCATCCTGGGACAAATAGACATCAGCCTCAGCAAGTTGATCAACAAGTTCATTGGCATGTGGGATTGGGGGAGTCCACATGTACTTTGCAGGAACTGCCGCTGGTGTTAAGTAGGTCCGTCCTTGCTGATCTGTTCCTTCAGACGCTGCAGATAAGAGCAGAACCATTGGACGCCTTTTCAGATACGAGGGCTTTTTCAGGAACTGCTCGTGGAACTCGGGGCAAGCAAAGAGCAAGTGGCATTCATCGAAAACCAGGACTTGGTCATTGTCATAGATCAATCTTATCATATCTTGCAAGTCTTTGTCTTTCACATTCGAGTTTTGTCCCCAAACAGCTGCCCTCATCTTTCTCTCCCACATCTCAAAAATGGTTGCATCCTTTGCAAGTGGGGCATGGACTCCAAAATACTTGGACGGCTGTGTGGTACACAAATGCTGCGCCAATGTAGACTTGCCGCTTGCCACACCAGCACGTAGAAAGACCACCCTCTCATCTTGCAACAAAACATCCAGCTTGCGAATGGTTTCATCCAAGGGGATGAACACGTCGGTGGTGAAGACGGCGGGATCCTCTGCTTTGGGAATTCTGCGCTTCACTGGCATCTCTTCTGGATATATCTTCTGCGCTTTTCCTGAGCTCAACACTTTCGCCGCTCTTGCAACCCCGACCAACGTGCTGCTCCAGCGGCGCAAAACGGCTTTGGTCTCTTTCACCGTGCCGTTGTCCTCCAGCACCCTGTCGGCTTCTGCGACCACCTGAGCGAGGCCAAGCTGGGACGTCGCTTTCTCTGAAGGTCCGCCGCCTCCTCGAGATCGCGCCGGTCCTGACAACCAACAAGCCCAGCGTTCAAGCCTGATGCACGTGTCCCCGGCCTCCGCACCACTGTCCTGGCACGATTGCAACCGGCCAAATTTACAACTGCTGATTGGAGCGTCCTGCTGCGGGCTGGCGCGCGAAGCAACTCCGCCACGCCCAGGGTGCCAGCTTGTCACCTCAAGAGGAGCTAAGAATCCAGGCAAAGACAATTACAGTGACACCGAGATCTGGACCTGCGCCCTGCGAGAATCCTGGCGCACCAATTGCAACACACAACACAGGAGCCCTGACTCACAGCCCCAGCAGTGCGCACGAACGGACGTCCTCTTTCAAGCCCTTCAGGGTTGCTTTGGCCTGCGTCGCACGAAAACCGCTTGTGAATCTCAGACAAAGCACGCAGTCCTGCCTCTTCCACGAACTCGCGCAGTTTTTGCTTCAACTCGTCTTTCTTCCCTGAAAGCGTCCACTTCCCTGGGTTTATCTTCTGCGCTTTTCCTGAGCTCAAACCCTTCACCGCTCTTGAAAACCCCGACCCATGTGCTGCTCCAGCGGCGCAAGACAGCTTTTATCTTTTCCACCGTGTCGTTGTCCTGCAGCACCCGTTCGGCTTCTGCAATCGCCTGAGCGAGGCCAAGCTGGGACCTGTCCTTTCTCTGAAGGCCTGCCGCCTCCTCGAGATGGAGCCGGTCCTGGCAGCCAAGAAGCCCAGCGTTCTGATGCACATGTCCCCCAGGCCTCGGCATTGTTGTCCTGGCAACTGCAATCGTCCAAACTTGCAAGCTTTGGGTCCGAAGGTCCTCTCGTGCAGCCCTGGCACGCAAGGCGACTCCAGCATGCACCCAGCGCTGGCTCGATGCCTCACTAAGCTCGCAGGATGCGAAAAGGGTCAATCTGCTTGCGTTAGTGGACAAGTCTGAAGATTGGGCCGGTGCGCCGTTGCGGTCCTCGCATCACAGCACAAGCAGGAACATTCGCAAAGAGGGACTTCACGGTCCTTCCGACCGGGAACTCCTCGCGAAAACTCGTGGGCGGCGGACAGGGACTCCTGAAGCCCGAACGAGTCAGCTGCCAACCCCTCAACGTTCCCAAGACCCAGGCCGTGCTCGGCCACTGCAATGAGCAACGCCAGCGCATTCCCAGGCTGAGGCACGCACCTTGCAAAACCACACAACAAACAGCGCAGCATATCAGCTTGCGGGCCTTGGCTTTTTATCCTGGCCCTCATCACAGCCATGGCCATTCCTGAACTTCACGGGCCTGCAAGGCCAATCCTACCGCTGGATACGTCGGCAATGTTTGCCCAGTGCCTTCAAGCATTTGATGAGCACTCTTGGGCGGCGGACGACTTCTTGCGTGCCAACATGTCCTTGCTGCTTCGTGTTATGTTGGTCCGCGTGTTCACGACCCTACGCGGCTTGTTTACTAGCACTCTGGTTGCCGCTGGCGCTGCTGGAGCCGTCAAAGACGCCACCTTGCCGATGCCCTTGCACTGGACTGACACTCAAAGCTCCTTTCGCTCCCCGAATGCCCCAAATTGCCTGTACAGTCACAAAGAACAACTATGCTATCTCGCCGCCGGGGGTCAAAAGGTAAGAGTCTGCCAATACACTTCAAGAGCATTGCGAACTTCGCATGGAGGCGGACACTGCTGATTTTTACATGGCTGGCATCCTTCATGGAAGAAGAGGGTGTCCCCGGCCTCGGCACTGTTGTCCTGGCGGCAACCGGCAAAAGATGCGAACAGGCTTCGGGTCGGAGGAGTCCTCTTGCGCAGCCCCGGCGCGCCGAGCGACTCCGGCATGCAACGGGTGCCGTTTTGCCTGAAAGAGCCAAAGTGCAATCTGCTTGCGCCCGCGGGCAACTCTGAGAACTGGGCCAACATGCTGTCCTGGCACTCAGCACGAAACAAGAACATCCAAAGGAGGGACTTCATGCTCCTTGAGCCCAGGAACTCCTCGAGCAAAGTCCTGGGCGGCGGCGACAAGGGACTCCTGAAACCCGAAAACCTTCGAAAAAAATGTGTCCCAAGACCCAGGCCGTGCTCGGCTGCACGAGCAGCGCCAATGCAATCCCGAGAAGGCAGAGGCACATACCTGGCCGCTGCCTACTGCGGGCACGGAAGCGTCACAAGCTTGCCAGCCTCGGCTTTTGGTCCTGGTCCGCATCATCGCCATGGCTATTCGAAAAGCGCTTGAGCGGCCTGCGATTCCTCAAGCACTGGCACTAGACCCATCGGGCAACCATTGCGAGCTGTTGTTGTGTCAGTGTTGATGAGTACCCTCGAGCCAAGTTTCCAGAGCAAACACAAGATTGACTGGCTTCTTTGGCAACACCAACGCACGGGTGCTCCTCCTCCTTTTCACTCGCGGCCTGAAGGTCGGTCGGGCCAAGCCTTGCAAGGCTTCGCAGCGTCCATCCGTCAGACTGGCTGACCCACATCCTGCCGCTGCATCAAAGTCCAAGCGAGTTACCAAACTGGCCTGCCTGCAAAACAAGCAGCCGAAATCGGCACCGGGCCGCCAGGGGCTGAAGGGCGGGGGTTTCTGGGGTCCCTGGTCCCTGGGATCACTGGGGCCTCTGGGGTCCCTGGGTCTGTAGGGTCCCTACATTCCCCAGGGTCCCTAAGCTCCCTAAGGTCCCTAGGGTCCCTAGAGTCCCTGGAGTCCCTGCACACGTGTGCATCAGACGTCTCGCCAAGGCCCCAGAGTGCGCTCATCCCTGTCAACGCACGGCGGGTTCAGGGACCTTGGGGACCTTTAGGGAATTTAGGGACCTTAGAGACCTTTAGGGACCCTAGCAACCCTGCAAACCCTACCCTAGGGACCCTAGGGACTCCGAGGACTTCAGGGACCCAGCGACCCAGAGACTTCCAGAGATCCTTGGTGGCCACAAGGATTTTGGGGCTTGAAGGGATCTTGGCAAGAACTTCACGCCGGGTACCATTCAGCCTGGGCATTCTCCAGCATCATAGGGTCATGCAAAAACACAAAATGCCGAAGCCAAGACACACACACACACACACACACATTGCAAATGGGCCACAACACCACAACATCATCTCCCAACTACAAACTAGAAAACACCATGTAGAGACATACCAACATAAAGGCACAAAGACATAAAGATATAAAGATATAAAGAGAAAGATACAAAGATACAAAGATATAAAGATATGAATTTGTAGAAATACAAAGATATAAATATATGAAATTCATAAAGAGATACAAATACGTAGAGATATGAAGATATAAATGTATGGAAATAAATAGATTTGAGTACACGAAGATAAATAGATGTATGGAAAGTTGCTCGAATGGGAAAACAACAGAAGCTTTGCCCTTCCGCGCGTCTTTGTGTCCCCTTGCGTGGCAAGCTGCAACCAACCGAAGCTTGAGAGATGACTTCACACTTCACAGGATCTCTTGCCCCCAAGACCCAGGGTTGCTGGGGTCCCTAAGGTCCCGTGGGGTCCCTAAGGTCCCTTAGGGTCCCTAAGGCCCCTAGGGTCCGTAAAGGTTTCTGGGGTCCCTAAAATCCCTGAAAACGCCGTGTGTTGACAAGGATGTATGCACTTTGGGACCCTGGCCAGACGTCTTGATGGAAGGACGTTGCTTCATGGCACCTGCAGCGGACGCACGCGTGCCCAGGGACCCAGGGACCCCAGGGACCCCAGGGACCCCAGGGACCCCAGGAACCACAAAGATCGCAGGGACCCTCGGGACGGTTCCAGGGGTTCCAGGCATTCAGGGGTTCCAGGGCTTGAGGGGTTCCAGGGGTTCCAGAAGTTCCAGGGGTTCCAGGGGTTCACTGGGTCAAAGATCAAGGGGGCTGACAGATTGGTGACAAAGATCAAATGACAATAACCTGCACGGGACTTCTTGGCCATGACAATGGAACGCGGCGAGGGCCCGGGCGGAAGCTCAAAAGTTCGCAGTGCCTGAGCGCCAGGAAAAAAAAAGATTTTGAGGAAACCACGCTGCCTGACTTACAAAAAACCTGACAGTACGACTTGACGGGGTTGGGGCAATCGCTCTCAAGGTCAAGGGTTCACCAGGTTGGAGAGACAATACAAAATGCGGGCCTGGCTCAACGAGGTCACGATTTCCAAAGATACACGGGCCTGACGGCGCGGCTTCAAGGGGTTGGCAAAAGCACACAAAAAAGCAACGCG